CCCACTTTAATATTGCATTAAAGTCACCAAAAAATCATTATTTTTCCAACAAAATTAACTTAAAAGTAACAAATTTTATTATTTTAATCAATAAAAGTCAATTTGAGACAGTAAATGTATTTACTCTTAGAGCTCTAAATAAGTTTTTGTAAAACCAAGTCAAGTTGGTAGTTATCAAACTTATTCAATATTAGTTGCGACATTATCACAAATGAATATTCACTGTGGTTCGTTAATTGCCTGTCAAATTTTGACAATGATCAAACTTTGTGCCAGCAAAATTTGAAAAATAGCTAAATGAAAGTAGTGTCAAATTGTAGTTCGTTAAAAGAACACATTTGTATTTTGCCACTGCAAGAAATATGGCTTTTAGCAGCGTTTGAAAAACGTCACTAAATTTGTCAAAAATGTCACTAAAATTTTTAGTGACGTTATGTTATAAATGCCGATGACGCGTCCGTCGCTATATGTTTATGATGTTTAACAAACGTTGTGTTTTGGCTTTTTGGCAATGTTTCAAAAACGCCGTCTTATAGCTGTCGACGGTGAAGTTTTTTGGTGGCATGACGTCATGTGGACACCTATAGTGGCATGTTTTTACAAAATGCGACTAGAAGTTATTTCTTCCCTTCAATTAGTGGTTTCTTTTCCCAGATTAGTTTTATATTCGGTAAATTATATTTTGCACCAAATCTCACTTCAGCTCCTACACATGAAATCATGACAGTCAACCTCCTGCACTTCTGGTCAAATCCCACTTTTGTCCCTACACATGAAATCGTGAAGTCAACCCTTGTACTTTTACTCAAATCTCACTTTGACCACTACACAAGTGTCAGTGTCCCTTTTTCTGTCACTTCATTTTAAATCTTTAACAAAATCCAGCGATGTGACAAAAATGTGATTACGAATTGAGAGTAAGATAGGAAAATCATCCGTGTTTTCCATCAATACACTTTGTCCTACGTGATAAGCACATGAGAGTTATATAATACAATATATATATATATATATATTCGTATGGTACAAATTGGGACAACAAGGTAAGAAAGTAGATCTTTTAAAATAAAATAAAATATGCGACAAAGAAATCAAAGAGAAAGAAAGATTAATAGATAGAAGACTATGATACGGTAAAAAATAGAGTTTCGTAATTTCAATTTATGCAAAACTCTAGTTCATCTTCTTAATTAATTATTCACAATCTGCGTTTTATTTTAGTCTAATACAACCATTTTTTGATGTAAATTTTAGGATAAAGTGTGTATTGGTGAAAAATATGGATGATTTTTCTTTCTTACCCTCATGTCATAGTTACATTCTTATTACATGACTAAATTCTGTTAAACATTTAAACAATTGAGTAACAGAAAGGGGATATTGACATTTGTATAGGGATCAAAGTGAGATTTGACCAAAAATATAGGGGGTTGACTGTTACAATTTCATGTGTAGGGATAAAAGCGGTATTTGACCAGAAGTGCAAGTGGTTTACTGTCATAATTTCATGTATACGGACCAAAGTGAGATTTGATGCAAAATGTATGGTGCAAACTGTAGTTTATCCTAATATGGTTGTTGAAAGTGTTATCATGTTCCCATAACCATATTTCTATTCCCACTTTGACTAATGATCAGTATGGTTGTTGCGAAAGTGTAATTTATCCATTTAATACGATCGTTGAAAGAAATGAAAGGAAATGACTTTCTCATTTGGTCAGAAATTAATGTGATGATAGCACTCTGTACATGTTGGCTATGTATTTTGTACAGACCTATCATAGCCTAACACGTGGATCGTAAAGGTCAAATTGGGGAATTAGTGAAAGTCTCCAATCATCAACAGACGCGTGTCAATTTATAGCAAAGGCAATGGATCCACGAGACATGGAAACAACCAAGATGCCCAAGGTGATGGGGCCAAAATGGTTGCTTACAGTTTAAATTCAAATTTATGAGGGAAGTCCAACCACGAGAGTGGAATAATGGAAGCAAACTGTTCAGAACCATACTCAGTGATCATGGAGTTCATTTCGACAGTTACCACCTACTTAGACGACTATTAGCCACTTCGATGATTATCTTTAGAGCCTATAAATAGAGGAGAATGTTGATAATGCAAAGGACCCAGAACCAGATCTAGAAACTAGTTTATTTACTCTATATTTTCAAGTCTTTTAAATAACAGTCTCTACATTCCTGTATTGCACTTCAAATTCCTACTAGTAATTCTAAGTTAGTCTATCACTGTAATCCTCTTCGAAGCTGTGAAAGTGTGAAGGTATGTCACGACCCAAACCCGCCCCTATGGGTTTAGCGTCGCAACCTGCCAGTAATCCTTGGATTACCAAAGTCCTCTTAATAGAATAACTTATATTTAGGGGCTGTGGAAGCAAATATAGAAACATACATAGTCCAATGAGCTGTGGAGACATATATGAGACAAAAATTTAAAACTTCATACACATATACGTGAAGTCATAATGTATTCTTACGTCACATTCATTACTCATGTAGCCAAAAGGGATGCAACCCAGTATACACATAACATAAAACTTGTTCATAATTCAAAGACGACATGGCCTTAAACATATGCCATTTAGACTTGACTTGGTCTCAAAAGGAAACCTCCTTGGAGGCACATTGGCTGGCTGACAAAACAGAATCTGAGGCCATCAACTCTAGGCCTGGTCACGTGCCTGCTCACCTACATACATAATAATAATTAGTGAGCTGGTACCCAGTGAATAATAATAGAGTAAAGATTTTACTAAATGATGTCCATGAGGAAATGAAGTCTTATACATGATCAAACATCAAAGCAGAAATAAATTTATATATATAGTTGCATTCGTATTCAAAGTTCATATGTTTCATATCACAGTACGTGGCATATCCATTAGCGTTAACAAATCTGATGACCCATAAAGGGACGGCCGTAAAGGTATTCCGGTGACTCATGTGCACAGAGACGGTTCTGATGGCCCGCGAAGGGATGACCATAAAAGCATTCGGATGACCCATAAAGGGATGGCCATAAAGGCATTTTGATCCCATAAAAGGGACGGCCATAAAGGCATTTTGATGGCCCATAAAGGGACGGCTATAAAGGCATTTGGATGACCCATAAAGGGACTACCATAAGAGCATTCTGATGACCCATAAAGGGACACATATCATATGATTCTAAGGATGCCACAATTACATTTCACAAACTTGGACAATCATTCATTCATATAGAATATAGTATTTCAGAAAACTGATCTTTCATATCATCAAAAAATAACTAAAGTTAAACATAACTTTACAGAGTTATTACTCACTGATAACAAATGGCTCCAATTAGACGGAAAGGGTAGGCAATTCAGATATCTTGTGGCGCGTGACCTACACGGATACAGAGCGAATACGTACTAAGTTACACACCCAGAATAATTAACTTAGTTCTTTCTTGTCTTGGTGTGTTTCTACTTTTTTATCCTCATTATGATGTCTTAATCTTGGCCTAGGAATGCCTAAGATGCAATGAGAATGCAAAAATACATTTAAAAGCACTTGGCCAAAAATGCTGGAAACAGGGGTCCCATTCGAGCGCCACTTTCCTCGCTCGAGCAGACATGCAAAATGTGAGTGGTCGCTCGAGCAGTATGTAAACTCTGCAAAAGTGCTGGTTGTGTGAAATATTCGCTCAATGAACTCTCAATGGCTGCTCGAGCGTGAGACTCATGACTTCGCTCGAGCGTAACTCTAGTCGCTCGAGCGGTCTGCAAAACATGAAAACTTCCAAAGGCATCCATTTTACACTCGAGCCAAATTTGGTCACTCAAGCGGAGGTGAAAAAATGCAGAGTGGTCGCTAAAGCGTAGGATCTGTCGCTCGAGCGGAGGGGTCGAATTCTAGAATTTCCAGATTCACCTCCAAGCTGCAAAACTCAAATTCAACACATCAAAACTCATCCTTTTGGGCCAAAAACTTAAGGAAACATTTGTAAACTTGTTAAACATAAAGAATTGAGGATCTTTTCATAAAATCAAAAGTATGCCAATTGCTCAAAACTCATACTTGGAATTGGGGAAAACATGACATTACATACCGTGCATGCAAAGGTACAAGCTCAAGCTTTCAAAACATGATCAAAAGAGGCAAATTGGTGGAAAACAAGATGAATTCTCAATACCAAGTCAAGATGGACACATGCATGTGAAAATTCTTTAGGATCAAACCCAAAATGTCTTGATATATGCATGCATGCATGATATAATTCAATTCTCTTCATTTCTAACTCAATTCTTGCATTAACCAACTTAATTCTCTAGAGTTCATATGTTAAGTGACTTACTCTCAAAGCTAGAAGGTTGAATTCTTACCTTCAATGGTCAATTATTTGAAGTCTCATGCCAAACCTTCCAAATTCTCTTGCAATTCACCTAGGATGAGTTCAATCTCCTCTTCTCCTTCTCTCTCTACGTTTGACTCTTGGAGGCTAAAAAATGATGAGAAAAAGAGGTGTTAAAGCACATACTAGCCTTATATAGGCTAGTTAAGAAATTTAGTTAATAACTAATTAATTGACATTATTTAATCTAATTATTTCGTTCTGAATCGAATTTCAATTGAACCTACCATAATGTTCTAAAAATTCCAACTAACTCATATATCAAGTCAATTTCATGACCGGATGCTGATGAGGCCTTTAATTCGCAAAAAGAAACAGAAATGCAAATAGATATTTCTACAATAGACAAATAGAAACATAAATAATGCAATGCACATGTAATTAACTCAGGATTTCATCTTAATTTCTTATTAGGCACAATTAATCATGGATTAACGTTAATCAGAGTTCGGAGTTGTTACAGTCTTCCTCCCTTAAAGAGTTTGGTCCTCCAAACTCGAGTTACCTTCATTTTGGAAGAATACTGGATCCAAAAGAAATAATCAGGGTATCTCCTCATTATATCTTCCTCTGTCTCCCAAGTTGCATAGGTTCTTCCGTGATTCTACCAATCAACCTTTACTAGCGAAATTTCCTTGTTTCTCAATCTTTTGATTCGGTGATTCATAATTTGTATTGGCCTCTCCTCATACGTATAATCATCCTTCAGAAGCACATGAGTCGGTTCAATCACTTGTAGTGGATCTCTCAAATAGTCTCGAAGCATTGAGACATGAAAAACATTGTGAATATTTTCCATGACTGGAGGTAAGGCCACTCGGTATGTTACTGAGTTGATTTTCTCTAAAACTTCATACAGGCCAATGTATCTTGGTGCTAACTTTCCTTTTACCCCAAATCGCGTCTGGCTTTTCATCAGAGTCACTTTGATAAATACATGGTCACTGATCTCGTATTCTCTGCCTCTTCTCCAGACATCCGCATAACTCTTTTGGCGGCTTTGTGTAGTTTTCAAACGTTGTTGGATCAGTTTTACTTTCTCAGTTATTTCTTGCACAAGTTCCAATCCTAACAATGGTCTATCACCTACTTTGGCCCAACAAATCGGGCATCGACACTTTCTCCCATACAGAGCCTCATATGGAGCCATTCCAATGCTTGAATGATAATTGTTGTTGTACACGAATTCGGCCAATGGTAAGTAAGTCTCCTAATTTCCTTGGAAGTGCAACACACACAACCGTAACATGTCCTCCAAAGTTTGATTGGTTTGTTCAGTTTGGCCGTCTGTTTGTGGGTGATAGGCACTACTCAGTCGCAGTTCAGTTTCCAGAGCTTACTGTAAACTTTGCCAGAATCTTGATGTAAACTTAGAATCTCTATCAGACACTATAGACATTGGTACACCTTGTAGTCGCACAATTTCATTCACATATATGTTAGCTAACTTATCCGCATTATAAATAGACTTAGTAGGTAGAAAATGGGCAGACTTAGTTAAACGGTCGACAATCACCCAAATAGAATCCATACCTCGAGAAGAGCGGGGCAACCCCACAATGAAGTCCATAGTAATATGTTCCCACTTCCATTCTGGTATTGGAAGCGGCTGTAGCAAACGAGTGGGTCGTTGATGTTCGGCTTTAACTTGTTGGCATTGTCGACATCTTGCCACAAAATCTGCAATACACTTTTTCATCCCAGGCCACCAGAAACTTTGTTTCAAGTCATGATACATCTTTGTATTCCCCGAATGCATGGCAAATTTAGAGTTGTGAGCTTCAGTCATGATGCATTTCCTTAAATCAGAACAATCTGAAACATAAAGGCGATTCTGAAATTTTAGTACATTGTTCTCAAGTACAAACCCAGGCCTTGGTTTTGAGTCAATTTCACCTACAACCTTTTTCAGGAACTCATCTTCAAGTTATTTTTCTTTAATTTCTTCAATGATCGCAGGTTGAGTGGAAATGATAGCTAAGATCCCACCTTATTCTCGTAATACAACTTCAATTTCATCCCTTTTCAAGACACATAGCAATTCTTTCTAACTGGTGAGTAAACATGACAAATTTGCAATGGATTTTCGGCTCAATGCATCTGCAACGGTATTTGCCTTCCCTGGATGATACAAAATTTGTAAATCATAGTCTTTGATCAATTCTAGCCATCTTCTCTGTCTCATGTTTAATTCTTTTTGAGTGAAGAAATATTTCAATCTTTTATGGTCAGTATACACCTTACAAGTTACTTCGTACAGATAATGACGCCAAATTTTCAAAGCAAACACCACTGCTGCTAGTTCAAGATCATGAGTCGGGTAATTCTTTTCATGAGGATGAAGTTTCCGAGAAGCGTGAGCAATTATCTTTCCATTTTGCATTAAGACACACCCCAAACCTTTGTAGGATGCATCACTGTAAATCTGAAACCCATCAGTACCATTAGACAAAGTCAAAATCAGTGCAGTCACTAATCAGGTCTTTAACTCTTGAAAGGCTGACTCTTGTTGATTGGTCCAGTCAAATGGTACATTTTTCTGTGTCAACTGTGTCAATGGCATGACAAGTTTGGAGAAGTCTTTCGCAAATCTGCGATAATAGCCTGAAAGCCCTAGAAAACTTCGAACTTTTGACACATTGGTTAGTCTTGGCCAGTCCACAATAGTTTCAATTTTCTGTGGGTCAACCGAAATACCCTCCATATTGATTACATGCCCCAGAAATGCTACACTGTCAAGCCAAAATTCACATTTGGAAAATTTTGCATATAGCTTATTTTCTCTCAGAATCTGTAATACAGTTCTCAAGTGATTCTCGGGATCTTCCCTGCTTTTGGAGTAAATCAAAATATCATCAATAAGCACAACAACAAATTCATCCAGATATGATTTAAACACCCTGTTCATAGGGTCCATGAAGGTAGCAGGTGCATTAGTCACCCCAAACGGCATTACCAAAAATTTATAGTGTCCGTATCTAGTTCTGAATGCAGTTTTCTCTACATCTTCTGCCTTAACTTTTAACTGGTGATACTTGGATCTAAGGTTTATCTTGGAGAACACTTATGCTCCATGAAGTTGGTCAAATAGATCATCTATTCGAGGTAATGGATATTTGTTCTTCATAGTTACCTTGTTCAACTCATGGTAGTCAATACACAGCCTCAAAGACCCGTCTCTTTTTTTGACAAACAATACTAGAGCACCCTAAGGTGACGCGCTCGGATGAATAAATTTCTTGTCTAAGAGTTCTTGGAGTTGAACTTTCAACTCCTTCAGTTTAGAAGTTGACATTCTATATAGGGTTTTGGAAATTAGATGTGTTCTGGGCACAACATCAATAGTGAACTCAATTTCCCTATCTATCAAATCTCCGAGCAAATCATTAGGAAACACATTAGAAAATTCATTGACTATAGGAATATTCTCAACACTAGTACTATCTGTGGGCTTGACCAATATGCAACACAAATAACCCTGGTAACCCTTTCTCAACATCTTACTAGCCTTCATAGAAGAAATCAAATATAGAGGACGAACTACACCATTCCCACTAAACACAAACTCATGCAACCCAGGTGGTCGAAACACAACAGATTTATTCACACAATCAATCGTAGCATCATATTTGGTCAACCAATCCATACTTAAAATACAATCAAAATGAGTAATGTCCAATGGCAGTAAATCAACATATAATAACACATCCCCAATCACGATATCACACGCAGGATACACATATGCACACATCATAGAACCCCCAACAGGTGTAGTTACAACTAACAAATATGTCATGGGTTCTAGTGGTCTAGTCAATTTTCGAGGAAAAGCATGCGACACGAATGAATGTGTAGAACGAGAGTCTATCAACACCTATGCGTTTTGAGTACAAATAGGGAGTATACCTGACACCACAGATTCGGTATTCTGCACATCACTAGGCACAAGTGCAAATATTCAACCTTGCCTTAAGGTTTTCTTTCCGGTGTTAACTTTTGTATTCATTCTTGATGCAGAAGCGGATCCGGCTGAACTTGCTGCTGGACGGTTAGTGTTTTCAAGCCTGATAGGACAATCTTTCATCATATGACCGATTTTACCACACCTTAAACAGGCACCCGTTGTTCGATTACAATCCCCCATATGTTTCCTACCACATTCTAGGCAAGTCGGTGCAGATCCACTACTTTGGCTTGAGCTATTGTAAGATCTTGTATTCTGCCTCTTTGAGAATGACCGGCCTCTTTTAAAATTAGATCCCAATCTCTTACCCCTCCATTCAGTTGTCAGAGCGTTAGTTTGTTTCTTTGCGGCCAAGTTGGCTTCAGCCACGAGGGCTCTATCAAGGACCTCCACGTATGTTGGCAACTTTAATACGCCTACACGATCAGATATATCTAAGTCCAATCCTCCCTCAAATTTGCGAGCTTTCTTATAGTCCGTGTCCACCATGTGAGGAGCGAATCTGGCTAACTCAGTGAACTTAGCCTCGTACTCAGCTACAGACATTCTGCCTTCCTTGAGTTCTTGGAATTCAGATACTTTTTGGTCCCGAAAACACTGAGGGAAGTACTTGTCATAAAAGATTTCGTTGAATCGAGCGCATGTCATATTTCCATTGGTATTCTGAATCAGTAACCACCATCTCCGAGCTTCGTCTTTTAAGGTATAGATGGCCAAAAGAACCTTTTGGGTCTCAGAGCAAGGAAAGACGTTAAATAATTTTTCCATCTCAAGCAGCCATGATTCTACCTTTAATGGCTCAGTACCACCTAAGAAAGTTGGTGGTTTCATTTTCGTGAACTTCTGGGTCAAGTTGATAATATCACTGTTATCTGGTTCAGCTTGTACTGGTAGAGGCGGAGGAGGTAAGGGTTGTTGTCTCTGTTGTTGAGTTATTGCCTCAGTTAAAGCTGCAAGCATTTGTTCCATGTGGCTCATTTGAGCCTCTGATGATTCAGCTGTTCCATCACTTCTTATATTTCCCATTTGCTATAGGTAAATAGAGCATTATAAATATAGACAAATAGTCCTTTTCATAACATGTAGATCAGTTGTTTCAATGTCATGTGGTCATGGTTAGAATCAGTTTTCACTTCGTATGAAGACACACTCACACACGCAGATGGAATGCTCCTACTTCATACTAGGACATCCGATAGCTCATATGGACTCGTATGTGCAGTTTAATCATGTGCTATGATACCACTGTATGACGGCCCAAACCCGTCCCTATGGGTTTAGCATCGCAACCGGCCAGTAATCCTTGGATTACCAAAGGCCTCTTAACAGAATAACTTATATTTAGGGGCTGCGAAAGCAAATACAGAAACATACATAGTCTAATGAGCTGTGGAGACATATATGGGACAAAAATTTAAAACTTCATACACATATACGTGACGTGATAATGTGTTCTTACGTCATATTCATTACTCATGTAGCCAAAAGGGACGCAGCCTAATATACACATAACAGAAAAACTTGTTCATAATTCAAAGAAGACATGGCCTTAAACATATGCCATTTAGACTTGACTTGGTCTCAAAAGGGAACCTCCTTGGAGGCACATTGGCTGGCTGATAAAACAGAATCTGAGGCCATCAACTCCAGGCCTGGTCACGTGCCTGCTCACATACATACATAATAATAAATAGTGAGCTGGTGCCCAGTGAATAATAACAGGGAAAAGATTTTACTGAATGATGTCCATGAGGAAATGGAGTCTTATACATGATCAGACATCAAAGCAGAAACAGATTCATATACGTAGTTGCATTCGTATTCAAAGTTCGTATGTTTCATATCATAGTACGTGGCATACCCATTAGTGTTAACAAATCTGATGACCCATAAAGGGACGGCCGTAAAGGTATTCCGATGACTCATGTGCATAGAGACATTTCTGATGACCTACGAAGGGACGACCATAAAAGCATTCTGATGACCCATAAAGGGACGGCTATAAAGGCATTTTGATGACCCATAAAGGGACGACCATAAAGGCATTCTGATGACCCATAAAGGGACGTATATCATATGATTCTAAGGATGCCACGATTATATTTCTGAAACTTGGACAGTCATTCATTCATTCATATAGAACATAGCATTTCAGAAAACTGATCATTTCATATCATCAGAAAATAACTAAAGTTAAACATAACTTTACAGAGTTATTACTCAGTGATAACAGATGGCTCCAATTAGACGGAAAGGGTAGGCAATTCATATATCTTGTGGCGCGTGACCTCCACGGATACAGAGCGAATACATACTGAGTTACACACCCGGAATCATTAACTTAGTTCTTTATTGTCTTGGTGTGTTTCTACTTCATTATCCTCATTATGGTGTCTTAATCTTGGCCTAGGAATGCCTAGGATGCAATGAGGATGAAAAAATACTTTTGAAAGCATTAGGCCAAAAATGCTGGAAACAGGGGTCCCGTTCGAGCGCCACTTTCCTCGCTCGAGCGGACATGCAAAATGTGAGTGGTCGCTGGAGCGAAGTCTGTAAACTCTGCAAAGGTGCTGGTTGTGTGAAATTGCCGCTCGACGGCCTCTCAACGATCGCTCGAGCGTGAGACTCATGACTTCGCTCGAGCACAACTCTTGTCGCTCGAGCGGTTTGCAAAACATGAAAACTTCTAGGAGCATGCATTTTACGCTCGAGCCAACTTTTGGTCGCTCGAGCACAGGATCTGTCGCTCGAGCGGAGGGGTCGAGTTCTGGAATTTCCATATTCACCTCCAAGCTGCAAAACTCGAATTCAACACATCAAAACTCATCCTTTTGGGCAAAAAATTTAAGGAAACATTTGTAAACTTGTTAAACACGAAGAATTGAGGATCTTTTCATAAAATCATGGCCCCAAAGTATGCCAATTGCTCAAACTCATACTTGGAATTGGGGAAAACATGACATTACGTACCATGCATGCAAAGGTACAAGCTTAAGCTTTCAAAACATGATCAAAAGAGGCAAATTGGTGGAAAACAAGATGAATTCTCAATACCAAGTTAAGATGGACACATGCATGTGAAAATTCTTTAGGATCAAACCCAAAATGTCTTGATATATGCATGTATGCATGATATGATTCAATTCTCTTCATTTCTAACTCAATTCTTGCATTAACCAACTTAATTCTCTAGAGTTCATATGTTATGTGACTTAATCTCAAAGCTAGAAGGTTGAATTCTTACCTTCAATGGTCAATTATTTGAAGTCTCAAGCCAAACCTTCCAAATTCTATTGCAATTCACTTAGGATGAGTTCAAATGGCCTCAGGCCCATTATTTCCATATTCATATCTATGCGCATTTCATATTCATGATCATGATCACCATTTCATTCAAACAGCCTTTGCCTCATTACATTCATATTCAAACGGCCTTTGGCCTATCATAATATTCAAACGTGTCAAATGGCAAATGGCAAACGGCCATAGGCCCAATTCACACATATCAAACGTATAAAATGGCCTCAGGCCCAATTCTTAGTCTTATCAGACGTATAAAAAGGGCTCAGGCTCAATTTATACATGTCAATCGGCCTTTAGCACAAATCATGTTCTTCATGGAGCCTTATACAAAATTTAGGCATATAGAATACTCATTCATAATTCAAATCAATAAATCCATGAAGCTTATGCAGAAGTAGCATTTGGAAAATAATATACTTGGAAATATCTTTACTAAGATATTACTCACAGTGTTCCGTCGATGGATTTGCCCTCACGCCTGACCCTACACATTTCATAACACATTGGGTCACAAGCAATTCAATCGATTCTTAACTTTTTCATTTCTCTTAGGCCTCTTTCTTATTCCTTTAGTTCATTTACAATGCTTAATGCATGCCTAAGAGTGCTTAGAAATGAAAAAGAACGGAAAACGGAACATGAAACAGCTTTTCAAAATTTTCTGAAACAGGGTGCCTCGCTTGAGCATAACTTTGCTCGCTCGAGCGGACCCCTTTGGTTTGAAAAAGTACTGGTTGCTTCATTTTCACGCTCGAGCGTAGCTTTTCTCGCTCGAGCCAAGACTCAAAGATGTTAGTGGTCGCTTGAGCGCACTTCTTCTAGATCGAGCAAACACCAATGTCTGCAAAACTTCTGGTTACCTTCATTTTACGCTAGAGCGAGAACTTCCACGCTCAAGTGAATGTGTCAAATTCTAGAAATTTCAGCTCACTGTTTGAGCTTCAAAAACACACATCCAAGGCCAAATTCATGCATGACTTACCCAAAACTTGAAAACATGTATTTGAACACTAATACTTGATGAATTACATTTCTTATACACATAACTTCACGAATTTGGCAAATCATTATTCTAAACTTCCACGCATGTATGAATCTAAACTTGAACTCTTTTCTGTCATCTATGGATTTGAGCTCCATAACTTCAAAAGTCATGCAACCAAGTTCCACAATCCTATAATTGATGGATGCATGTCTAAAATAACTACCAAATCTTCATGTTTAACATGCTTCATGCTCAAATATGCAAAATCATGACAATTCTCTACATGCATATACATATTGACTTCAATTTCATCATATACAACTTAAATATTGTTCTTGATTGCCAATTCTCTTTGACTTCATATAATTACAAACTCAAACTCATGAATTAAGGGCTGGTTACTCACCTAGAAGCTCGAATCCTTCCAAATATGGCTAATTCTTGAGCCTAAACTTCCAAATCTTCAAGTTTTGAGACAATTCTACAATTTTTTCTCTTCCTCTCTCTCTAGAACCGTCCCTCTCTCTCTCTAGAGTGTAATCTCATCCATGTTATGAGAAATGAGCTCAAAGAAAATGGGCTTAAGTGTATAGAGATCATTTATATATACTTGCCTAATCAAACTTGATTAAGGCTAATTAATTATGCTTAATTTAATCAATTTAATCTAATTATTTTGACACAAATCAATTTTTAATCAAATTTCACCATAGGCTCTAAAAATCATGCTAATCACACTGGTACTGTCAATTTCAATTTTTGTTGCCTCTACGGCCTTTAATTTTTAAATTATAGCAATAAGTTGGACAGGTTTTCCTATGGTGAACATATATAACTTTAAAAACTCATATAATTATGCAATTAGCACTCAAAATTAAATTAAGCACATAATCACAAACATAATTATGATTAATTAATATAACGCAGAACAGGGTTATCACAATCTTCACCCTTTTAGGAAGTTTGGTTCTTCAAACTTATTTTACCTCTGTTCGGAAACAAGTGTGGATAGCGTAGTCACATCTCATCCTCGTTTTCCCATGTAGCGTCATTCCCATAGTGTTCTTTCCGTTCTGCCTTTACCATTGGGATGGACTTGTTCCTCAATTGTTTCATTTTCCAGTCAATGATCCGTTCAGGCCATTCTCTGTATTCCATATTTTTATCAAGTGCTATCTGGTGGTAGTCTATCACATGAAATGGATCTCGGGGATAACCCCTCAACATCGATACATGGAATACATTGTGCATTTGTTCTAATCCCGGCGACGAAATAACTCTGTAAGCAATTGGACCAAGCCTTTCTAGAATTTGAAATGGCCGAATGTAACAGGGTGACAATTTACCTTTATTACATGGTTGCCAACCTCATAATCGAGAGGCCTTCTTCGAACATCCGCATAATTCTTTTACTAGCTCTGTGCTGTCTTGAGCCTTTGTTGGATGATTTTAATCTTCTCAGAAGTGTCTTGCACAATTTCGGGCCCAAGCAAAGCTCTAACCCCAACTTATGTCCAACAAATTGGCGATCTACACTTTCTGCCATACAAAGCATTGTACGGTGCCATACTGTTACTGGAGTAGAAACTACTATTGTATGCAAATTTAGCTAGTGGCAAATAATCCTCTAAACTCCCTTGAAAATCTAAAGCACACATTCTGAGCATATTTTCCAAAGTCTGTATGGTCCATTCAGATTGCCTATCTGTTTGTGGATGGAATGTGGTACTGAATCTCA